ATTTAATGCAAACATTTAACGTGTTATAACTAAGGAGGTTCTACCACATGGAAACACTCTTTAATGAAACTTTAGCTTTAACTGATCGTGACCAACAAACTACTAGTTTCGCTTGATGGGCTAAGGATGTCCGATTTATCAATTTATTTGGTAAATTATTAGGGGCTCATTTAACCCATGTTGAATTAATAGTATTATGGGTCGAAGTAATGAACCTTTTTGAAGTGGCTCATTTTGTACCCGAGAAGCCCATATAGTCACTATAACACCCCAATTTTCCTATTTTATGTTAATAATGTTTTAGAAATTATTTTGAGATTTAATGTATTTATTTTAGAGCTTTGGGTATTATTAAATTTAATTATAAAAGCTATATTTCGTTTATGAGATGTGATTTGCAAAGTATTATTTTAATTAGTGAAGTAGAAATTATTTATAAAATGTATTTTTTTATGTTCATGATTATTTGATAAGGAAAAGAATGTGTTTAATTATATATTGCTTTATGAGAAGGGAATAAGGGACATGACAGTCTTTTGATATTTATTATTATTATTATTATTATTATTATTATTAAATTCATTTGAGAAAAAAGGGGGTTACGAGAGTTATCAAGAGTTAAGGGAAAACTCATTTCATGTTTCTGACTCCACTTTCTTTTTTACACTTCTGAAGACCAAGGAGATTCTAAAGAGGAGAACCAACCTGATTCTTTCCGTGTTTTATCTTTTGTTCATCAAGGTAAAGGGAAATGAGAAACCTCACTTGAGGGTGTGAGAATAATTGTTGGATAGCAGGATTGACCCCCAATCCCTTTCCGATGCATGCTCTTAAGAATAGGCAAATTTTGAAAGTTTTCTGTTTTGACGTTTGATGCTTATGTTGTGTTCCTTGTTGAATGCTGAGTATGATTCTGTGTTAAATTTTGCAAATAGATAAGTTGTGATATGAATTAGAGTGCTCTATCGGTTCCTGTAGGAAACCCTATGAGGGACGGTTAGGAATATGATCTTGTGTTAAGAGTTGAGGTATAGTATGTGAAATTGAGTATGAATTCATGTTCTGGTTATTAATTGGAGGACTTTTATCGATTAATTCAAGTGATTTCTCAATTGCATGCAAAAAATGGGTAATTTCACAAGACTGAGATGTGTAGGTTCGTGTTGGGGTGCCGGGCGCAAATTCATGATTTGGGGACTAAGTCCCTAGGGTCTCCTGCGTCGGGCGCATGGTGAGTCCCACCAGACGCAAGTTTCTTGGAGGATTTGCATCGGGCCCAAGATGGGTCATGTCGAGTAGAAAACCTCCGCTTTTGGCACAACATTTTAGTTGTCGGGTGCGCTCAAGGGTGCGCTAGGCATGAAGCTCCACTTTTGGTGTGGAATTTTAGTCGCCGGACATGCTCAAGGGTGCGTCGGGCATGGAGCTCTGCATTTGGTATGACAATTAAGTTGCCGGGTGTGGTTGGGAACACACCGAGCGTAAGTAATGCGTTGGCACGGGCTGGGGCGTGCTGGGCGTGACCTCGACCTATGACTTTTGTGTTTTGAACGACATGAGTTGCGAATTGAATGTGAATGTTACTGATTATTTTCCTGGCATGATCAATGTGTTATAATGAGATATGTGATAATGCGATTACTACATATATGACCATGTGAACTTGATGTGAAAATGTGAAAGGTGACAATGAGATATGAGATATGAAATATGAGAAACTGTGGCATATGATAAGCTATGACAAGTGAAGTGATGAGTCAATGCATTGTGAATGAATGACATGTATCATGTGCATTTGTGTGAAGGGTATGATGTGGAGTACACCGTTAGGGAAAACCCTCCTTATGTAAAAGCTTGGGGAGTCCTAGGGGATAGTGCGGTTTAGATGTCTCGATTATGCTCGTTTGTGAGCATGAGACGTAACTTGTGCAATTTTGCTATCTCGACCAGATCCTAGCAGTACATCCTTCTAGTTGAGAGTGTATGGGTAGCTCCCTACATGTACTCTTATACTACCTTAGGTGTGTTGTTTTGGCAGCACACTAATGATATGTGATATGTGACTAGCGTCACATGCATGCATTTATGAGTCGAGTCCATGACATCATTGCATGATGAGTGATTGTGTATGTGTTGCTGTTGTATGTGTAATTTGAGCTTGCAACTAATTGATGTGCAACTATGACTATATTTGTTATGATTTGTGTGTGTATTATCTGACAGCTATTTTTACACCTTAATTTGAGTAAGATGTTTCTCACTCCCTTGTTTGTTCTATGTGTGTCTCTTATTGTGTTGTAGATGACCATCAACATGAGGATATTGGTGATAAAGCTTATGTTTCAATGGGAATGCTCTGATAGGATATGTGACATCGGAGAGTAGTTAGGACTAGTTTAGATTGTCATTTACATTGAATTATTTTGAAAAACTTAAGTTTCATTTTCTTGTAATTTTCACTTCTGATTTTTGGTTTATAGATTACGAATGTGAATCCTCTATGCGAGATATTGATACTGTTTTTTATTTATGAAAGACTTTATTATTTCTTTTCATTGTGTAATTATGTATGTGGGGTAGAGGGTGTCACAATCACTTCTTATATGATCAAGAATGCTAGTTACCAACTTTTGAGTACAAAAGATAAAAACTATAGCGTGTGTTAGTCCAAAACAAGTTTTAATTGACTATGCGTACTTTGAGGAATCTTCTTATCCTTTCTCTAACAAAAAACAATCCTCATCCTTTGATAGTCTTTCTAAGCACCTAAGAAACTTTTATTCTCACAATCTGTTGAGATATAAATTGAAAACAAATAATAGGAACATAAAATATAGTCAATATATTAATAAGTACATTCATTTGTGACATATAGTACATTTAGTTTGATACATGGACACATATAAGACTTCATCTTATATGCTTTTATGTGATCTTAAAATATTGTCTTATAACTTAGTCTATTTATGCTTTACAAAAACAAGTATGTTTATTATCATTAAAACATAAATTTTGAGGGGTTCTAATTTGTCATTTGACCTAAAAAATACAATTGAGACAATTGAACAATTGATTGATTGTTGATTATTGTGACATGAAACGTTTGCATAAATTATGTTTTTGGCGAGATATTGGTGAGGAATTCGGTTCCAATGATGTCTCTTAATGATCAATGTATCCAGACCTAAGAGGTCAACATAGTTTGGGAATCCTAGTTATACTCTATGATGAATTTACATAACCCCAACGTGCCTTTGTGGATCTTCCCTCTTGTGAGAGTGTTTGGTGGTAGACAACTTTGGCCAAATGACTCTATTTATCAACATGTATTCCTACACTATCCTATGAGCTTTTTGAGTGACGTGTATTTTGAATGACACTACATGCATATTGCACTAGAACGTGAGACATTGCAGAATACATATGTTACAAATCTCTTGGATGTGTTTGAATGTAAAATATTATATTATTGTTATATATTTGTTATGTTCGAACTTGTCCAACTTATTTCTCTTTAGAAATATAAGTGAGATGTATTTCATTCTCTTTATTATTTTTTGGACTGAGCATCATTTGTAGGTGAGGATTAGCCAACTGTTAATGTTGGTGGTGAAGTTTAGACCTTTAAGATTATAACTTTGGTTACCATACTATGATAGGATAAGACATTGAGGTGTGAGATATTATTTTAGTTATTATATATTTTATTTTATATTTCAATTATTTAGATTTAAAACTTATATATAACCTTTTGGAGTGTCAAGTGTTTTTTAAAATATTTAGTAACAATGTAATTTTATTAATGATTTATGTGACTAGAGTTAATGTGAACTTTCTACCTTTGCAAAATGTATATAAAAGATTTAGGGAATTCCACCATTTTTTATTTAATTTATATAGTGAAAAGTATTTTATTTATTGTGATAATTATAGAGGGTAGAGGGCATTAAATTTAATGGTATCAGAGTAAATAAGAGCCAATATGTTATGTGCTTTTTTCTTTGTTTCCTATGTGATTTGTTTGGCTTGGTTCTTTGTTTGTCTTTTTATTTGTCTTACCTTTTGATTACTTCGTGAATATATCAACAAATTAAGGGAATAAATGATGGGTAGAAATTACCACACAATAGTTGATGCCATATTGATCTTAGCACATGTTGTAGGGATCGTTTCCAGAAAAACAATCCACTTACCTTAATGGGATGCTTTGATCCTAATGGAGCTCAAAATTGGCTGAGGTACTACCTCTTTCACTCTTGTTTAATTAGTATAATTTTGAGGCCAAATCATTGTCTCCTACAATTTCGAATACCATTTTATTAATTCAATGTAAAATAACTTATGTCTTCTTTATCTTAATTCAAGTTTATTGTTATGCATTGATATTATAGTTTTTTTTAAACCGTCAATCAATAAAAAATTATCATTATTTTAAGATAACTATTAAAAAATTCAACAAACTTTCCATACTAAATAATTATGTTACTTATCTGAAATATTTATCAATTTTATTAATTACTATGCTTGAAAACCTCACTAATCACTTTTAGGTTTGAATTTAATGACCTTATTTAAGAAAAAAAAACTAACTCTAGTTTTATTCAAACTAAGAATTGTTAGTACATACTCAATATTTTATGGTTAAATGATTATTTTAGGGTGTGATACATTATTTATTGTCTCTTTCTTGTTTGTTTAGATGATTTGCATATTAATTCAAAATTGATAAATTTGTACTCACATTACATATATTACACAATAAAAAATATTACTTCTTTTTTATTATTATATAATAAAAGAAATTTCTTAACATGGATCTTGTGGCTGAGGTTGGAAATGAGGGAGCAATCTTATAATTCATTTCAAGTTCAACATCTATTTTTAGTATATATACATATATATTATTTTTCCCAATGAAATTGAAAATTCAAAACTATGTACTACATGGCCATAACGAACTTTCTAACTGAACCCAAGCTTTCTCTCTTCTCCCGCTAAAACTTAACTAACTCCCACTCGCACGTGCAAGCACGTGACTTTCCGTTTCGGCTTTCTCATTACACAACACTGCATCACGATCTGTGCAGTGCAGCGCCACATTGTCGGTGACGACGATTCCGTCACAAGCTATTTATAGCGGTTTTCGAAGCTTCTCGTTCGTGGCTTTCCCGAAGCTGGATCCGAAGCTGAGGCATGGAGTCGATCCTGGGAAGAGCTCTTGAGTACACTCTCAAGTACTGGCTCAAATCATTCTCCAGAGACCAGTTCAAGTTGCAGGGTCGCACCGTTCAGCTCTCCAATCTAGGTCGATTCTCCGTTTCGTTGCCTCGTTAGTTTTGATTTTTAAATTAGGGTTTATGATGGTTGGAGTTCGTTCATTTCAGATTTGAACGGGGATGCACTGCATTCCAGCGTTGGATTTCCGCCCGCGCTCAATGTCACCACCGCCAAAGTTGCCAAATTGGAGATCACGGTTTGTGGAATTTTCCGCTCTCTTTTGTTTGATTCTTTTTGGTGTTAGCTTCCTCGTGATCACAATGTGAAAGTGAAACGAGTCCTGAATTTGGCGCCGCTGGTGAATTTGGTGATAGTATTGAAAATGCAAATTTGGTCTCCTACTTAATTTGGCTCATGAAATTGCCAGCACCTGTGAATTTGGTCCCAACAACATTGCCAATTTGGTTAATTTAGTTTTCAATTTTGATAATCATAGTCAATTTGGCTTCTGAAATGAGGGATCAAATTGATTAGTGCCGAAAGGATTTTAATGATTGAATGTTGCCGAAGTTAAGGATTAAATTGATGAGTATTAATGTCAGGGACTGTAATTAATGAAGGTTTCCAATTTCATTCTTCTTCGTGATTTGAGGGACTAAAATGACTGATGATTGTAAATTCAGGAATTAATATTAATGTTCACTCAAACTTTAGTAAAATGGGTTGACAAACCTTGTAGCCTTTAGTGTCCAATTAAATAAAATAGAATATTCTAGTCGTTTGAATCATCAATTAAATGTATTTCTAATTTTCTATATCTAGGTATTTACCATTTTTTTCAAGTGAAATATTGGTTAAGGGTGTTGATGAATCGAACTGTATAAGAAATGAACTGAATTGGAAAAACAGTTTGTCCAAATCGCTGTTTAGGCAAATTGAATTGAACTAGTTCGGCAAATTGATTTCTCAAATTTGAACTGAAATGTGTTTTGACTTGAACTGAACTATTTGAACTGAACTGCTTTTTTTTTTTTTTTTTTTTTGGGCAATGATAAATATAAGAAAAATTAAAAGTGGGAGAATTTTTACTCCTTTATAAAAATAGTTCAGTTATTATAGTTCTGTTTTCAAATAGTTTAGTTTGGCTTTTTATAAAAATAATTCAGTTCAGTTTTTTATGAAAATACTCCAATTTTTATAATTGAGTTTCAGTTCAATTCACAACTAGTTTGGTTATTTTTTTGAACACCTCTAATATTGGTACTTCCTTTTCCTCTTCTTTGTTCATTTTGTGGTGCATATTCATTTTACGTTGTGTGATTCCAGTCTTTCCTTTGCAAATTCCTTAAAATAAAAAGAAATATAAAAACAAGTTTATATTGCTGTAATAATTGGTGAAAAAGCATATTAACTGAAAATAAAAAAGCACACTTCCATTGTCTTGTTTGCTACTTAGCTTATAATCTTATATATATATATTTGCATGCATATATTCAAATGGGTTTGTATGGATTCTTATTGAGTCCAGTGTGTGTGGCTTTCTAGCTGCCGTCCATGAGCAATGTACAGATAGAGCCAATCATTGTGCAAATTGATAGGCTCAATTTGGTTCTTGAGGAGAATTCTGATTTTGAGCCATCTGAATCTCCAACCAGGTAGTGAAATTAGAGTCTTTCCAAATATTACATGTGAGGAGTCTTGTTTTAGGGTGACGCCTTTGCTGTTACTTATTAAGTTCTTTTTTCGTTCCTTCTTACTTTGTTGTTTACAGTAGCACCCCATCAAGTGCCTCTGGAAAGGGTAGCGGCTATGGTTTTGCTGATAAGGTTTGATTCTTTCATCTCAAAGTGTAAATCGATTTGTATGAGTGAGTGATATCCATATACTATTATATTAATCATAAAATACTTGTAGTGAAATTTGACAATTGAATGGAGGAAGAGAAAAACAAGAACTCTTTGGAACACGGGGTGGGGGAGGAACTTGATGGGACTTGTCATTTTTTTTCCCTTTCCTTCTTCTGTTGAAGTTGTTGTCACTTGCCAGGAGAATTTTCAATAACATAAAAATAAGACTAAATATAAATCTTGTCCGTGAAAGTGGCAACCTTTTGATTAGTTTCTAAAAGTTTGCATGTATACAATTTAGTCTCTGCATTTGTTAACTTCATGGCAAAGTAGTCCTTTCAATGTGAACATGACCAGATTTGGGAACTAAATTTGTGTTCAAGTTAACAAATTCAGAGATTAAATTGTCATGAAGTTGAAAAATTTCGGCTCTAAGTTGTCAAAGAAGGACTACTTTGTTCTTAAGTTGACAGATCCAGGGACTAAATAGTATACACGTAAACTTTTGGAGACCAAATCAACATGGGTTGCTCCAATTAAGGATGAAATTGTATATTGACTCTAAAAATGAAGATGTAGGCAGAGATAACTTCTGGACTATAAGGAGAGGTAATTATTTGTTTGACTAATTATAGAGAATAGGTTAAGGATTAATAATTCCTAGCAAATGCCATTTACTCATCTACAGATATACATATTTAGTTTGAATGTTACTCATTTTTATTCATCGTGGGAACCATCAGATTGCAGATGGAATGACTATACAGATTCATACTGTTAATCTATTACTTGAAACTGGTGGAAGTGCTCGTTGCCAAGGGGGAGCAACATGGTAAGTTATTCTTACCAGTGCTCTGATTTTGGTTAGCATCTCTAGTGGATTTATGCTCTACAATCAATCTCAATTGTTATTATGGATCTCTATATATTGAAAATTGATATTACTGTATTAGCATAGATGTAGTGGGTGGTTCTATGGGGTAACTTATGGATTACAGCTAATGGATTATATCTGTTTGACTCAAAGACTGCTGTAAATTTCATCTAAAGTCTATTTATAAACATGCCTGTTCCCTGTCTTTGGTTGTAGGACACCACCTATGGCATCTATCACGATACACAACCTTTTACTGTATACCACAAATGAAAGCTGGGAGGTAATTATGTTGAGACTCATTCTTGCAATAAACGTCTGGGCAATTGAATATATTGTTTATTGATTTGTTTTTATTCTGTTATCAGGTTGTAAATCTTAAAGAGGCACGGGAATTCTCCACTAATAAGAAGTATATATACGTCTTCAAGGTACTATACCCTCTTTCATTTATTTATTTTTATTTAATGTGTGCTTGTAGCCTTTTGGAGTCGGTTTGTTTGAGCTTTTTTCTTTTTTTTTTTGTGTGAAAAGTCACTTGTATTTTGAAAAAAGTTAACTTTTTAAAAAATGTGTATTTGTTTGAGCTTTCGAAACAAATAAGAAATCTGAAATGAATCAAATTTCTTATTATTATGAGAAGTTACTTTGAGTAGCTTCTGATAAAAAGCTGTAATTTTAGCTTACCTGGATAAAAGTGTTTTTCATAATGTAACCAAACAAAAAAAATACCTGCTTTACATTAAATCTATGAAATATAAATCACTTTTTAAAAAAAATTTTTTTTTATACATTCTTAAAAATTAAAATCACTTTTTTCAAAAACTTAAATAAACAGAACCTTATTGGGATGATTGACTTGTCTTTATATTGCTCTTATATATTACATCTCTCCTTTCATCAGATTATCATTTATGCTTCGTAAGAATGTGTTTCTGCTATATTTCTCCATATTGAGGATGTTAAGTTACTTATTTTTTTTATTACCCCATAATAATTCTTACTTTTCCCCCCTCTCTTCAGAAACTAGAATGGGAATCTTTGTCTATTGATCTTTTGCCTCACCCTGACATGTTCACGGATGCTACTTTAGGCCGTTCTCAAGAGGGAGCCAACCTGAGAGATGAGGATGGTGCAAAGCGAGTACTGTTTGGAGGCGAGCGTTTTATAGAAGGAATATCAGGAGAAGCATATGTAAGGAATATAGTTCCTCCAATCAGTTTCAGTGAATATTTTGTTTTCTTCCAAAATTTTGTGTCATGACTCATGAAATACTACTCGAACTTTTTATTTACTAGATCACGGTTCAGAGAACTGAATTGAACAGTCCACTTGGGCTTGAAGTTCAGTTACATGTCACAGAAGCTGTTTGCCCTGCATTAAGTGAACCTGGTAGGTTAAAGGATAGTTGTCAGGCTTTTAGTATCCTTGTTGTGTTAATATAAAAGGAAAAGATGTGACATGAATTTCATATAACTCATATGAACAGGGTTGCGTGCGCTTCTCCGCTTTATAACAGGATTATATGTCTGTCTAAACAGGGGAAATGTAGATTTCAAGGCTCAGCAGGTTTCATATTTCCTTACTTTCTTCCTCCTTTGAGCAAACTATTTCTCAGCAGTATTGTATGGAAAAGACTAATATCATTGTGAATTTTGAGTCTTGTCTGTTTCTGAATCAATCATGACAGCGATCAACTGAAGCTGCTGGTCGTTCTCTTGTCTCAATTGTTGTGGACCATATATTTCTTTGCATTAAAGATTCTGGTAGTCTTTAGCTTTAACTATTGTTATGTTGATTTATATCTTCTTAAATCATTATAAAATATCATACAGCTGTTAGTTTTATATGTAAACATAGCATGCAAAGTAATCCTACAATTGGCATTAACTTGCAGAGTTCCAGCTTGAGCTTTTAATGCAGTCCCTCTATTTTTCACGGGTAATTTACTTGATTATGTTCTTGTGCGTTGCTTTTTCCATGTATTTTTTTTTTCTTCTTGGATGTGTCCTTGTTACTTGTTGAAATAATAAGGTTTAGACAGAAGATGAAAGAGGAAGGAGGTTCTGAATATTTAGATATTAGATTGAGATGTATATATTTAAAAAACAAAGAGCTGATACATATTTATATTCAGAATTAGGCCATGTAATAATGTAATGCTACTAGTACAAGCTCAAGGCTGCCAATAAAAAAGACTCCTAACCTTAATTAAACAATAAAATTAAAAAAAAAACTTTGGAGACTGTACTTTGATGATATATGCTATGGGTTTGTGTATTCTGCACGTGCTAGTTTGAGATGCCAAATGCCATTGGCAAATATACACTTTTCCTCTCATGAATGTCATGCTTGCCATGCCATGATGTCTAGCTTCCAATGCAATGGAATCATCGATAGATTATTTCTGCAGGCCAGTCTTTCTGAAGGAGATAGTGACAGTATCCTGACCAAAATTACGATTACAGGGCTGTTTTTAAGGTTTGTCCCTGTGCTCTACCTGCTAGTGGTCTGTTTGTGCTCATGTTTGTTAGTGCCAGTTCAGGTGTTTGTCCTCACTATCTATCTTCCTCATTCAACTTAAATTAAGTGAAACTGGGAACTGACTGTGAGTGAACTGTAAAGAGATCAGTTGTAATACTGACTCTTGGGTGGTTAGTTTGTTATAAGTGTCTTAGCTCTATAAATAAGTGGCTTTTGCTCCACTGTAAAATAACAAGAATCAGTTACACATTTTGCAAATTTTCTTCTTTTCTTCTCTCTCTCTCTCTCTCTCTCTCTATCACTCAATACTGACTAATCTGAAAATATTGACAATCGGTGTTGGCATATATAACAGCCTCTCTCTCTATCACTCAATACTGACTAATCTGAAAATATTGACAATCGGTGTTGGCATATATAACAGCCTATGTGGTTAGATATATCCTGGATTGACTCTTGAATAGTTAATGCAACTGAGAAGGGGAAAAGAAATAGAAAGATCATTAAATATTCTAAAGGACTTGCTATATGACCTAATAGATTATTTTGGTTGTTCTTGACAGTTCTAATGATGCAGTCTTTTTTATGAGTTGACAGTAGTTATTTTTTGCTGGAAAGTCGAGTCCCACATCATGTACCTCCGTCCTTGGGGTGCAATTTATGTATCTATTGAAAAACTTCACTTAAAAACTATTGAAAGAGAGAAAAACATATGCAAGGGCAACTTCGCTTAAAAACAATGAAAGAGGGAAAAACAAATGCAAGACATGGTGAAACCTTGTGTATTGGCTACATAGCAGAGTCTGTTTTATATAGACTCAATGAAATAAATACAAAAAAATTTAGGAGAAGATTTTCCTATTTACATGATACGATAGACCTATAATTACAAAGATCCTAATTTAATAAAGAAGTAAATTATAAAATAGAAAATAAAAATAAATCCTTACAGATCATCTATGACTTTGATCACAAATTCTACTTGCTGACAACACACAAGTAGTTTTCCGAAACAAGTTTTTCCAAGACAGAGTTAGAGAATGTGATGGTGTTTCATGATATTTTTGATAGAGGTGGAGGGGAAGGAGGAGGAAAACCAGAAGCCATAGATCAAACATTGATCCAAGCTCTTGATACCAAATTGAGAAGGAACTCGATACTTTGTATTATTTATGAAAGTATAAAATTCTGCTTTTACAGTGAGGAGAGCAACTATATTTATATAGATGCTGAAATATGCACAACAAGCTTCATAAGTTGCAAAGAGTTCAACAGAAGCTATCTCCTAACAAGAGTACAAGAGAAGCTACTTCTCAACAGAATGAAAGTGATACATAACTGAAAGTGACAGTGACTCATGTCACTGTCAATTACAACTGAAATACCGAGAAAGAAACTGACAGAATACATTTTAAAATTTCGAGTAAAGTTCTATACTCTAACAAATAGCAGCCATCGAAAAACTTGCCAGAAAAGTTGGCGACAATGAATGGTGGCTGTTGAAGATTTCACCGAAAAGGTGGGTGGTGGGCAAGGAGGAAAAGCACGACAAATTTCTGACATAGCGGCAGAAAGTGCTGACATTCATGCTGGAAAGAAGAGACACATCGGAGGAGGTGACTAATTGGAGTTCCAAATTTTCGGGAGTCTGGTGTAGTATAGTGATTGGACAAATCACAGAGGATGCTTACGATGGTACTGCTGATACCATGTTGAAAGAGAGAAAAATAAGAGATGTTGACACAGTGTGTTGACTACACAACTGACTCCGTTTTATATAGACTTAATGCAATAAATACAAAATTATATAGGAGATAATATTCCTATTTACATGATACTAGAGACCTACAATTAATTACAAAGATCCTAATTAAATAAGGAAAAATATTAAAATACAAAATAAAAATAAATCCTAAAAAATCATTAAGGTCTAAGGATACTCTAAAATATGAAAAAAAAAAATTATCAGATATTTTTCAGATTATAACAATGGCATTTGGTTGTAAGATGGAAGCTAACATTGTTATCTTGTAACCAAATTTTACCCTCTGTATTTTAAAATGCAGGGACACCTTTTCATTTCCTCCATGTACCTTAGTGCAGCCATCGATGCAATCTGTCACAGGAGATGCTTTTGAAGTGCCAGCATTCGGTATTAAGTTATGAATTTAATTTCGATCCATTAAGTGTAAAAGCTTGTATACATCCATTGATGCATTGTAATTTTATTAAAAAGTTTGACTATAATAACAGCTATCTATTACCAAGAAGTGATTTTTTTTAATAATGTGGCAACATGCTTGAATGATAATGTAAAATAGCCTTATGCAAACACCGGATCAAATTTGAAATCTTTATTACCTCGTATTTTTCAAAAGACTATCATTTTAGTAATGATAATGTTTAATTAATTAAATATTTTTTTTATTCTTTTGACAGCTCGAAGCTTTTGCCCTCCAATATATCCTCTAGGGGAACAGCCATGGAAATCAACTCTGGGAACTCCTCTAATATGCCTCCATTCCGTTCAGATTGCTCCTTCTCCAGTTCCACCATCCTTTGCCTCTCAAACAGTTATTGGTTGTCAACCTCTTATGGTGGGTGGCTTCGTGCAAGTTCTTTTAACAAATGGCCTGTTAGTGCATCTATTTAAAATTTTGGTTGCAAGTTATGTTATTTGATGACATTTCTTTATTTTCCAGATTCACCTCCAGGAAGAATCCTGCCTGACAATTTCATCATTCTTAGCTGATGGTATTGTTGTCAATCCGGGTGACATTTTACCAGATTTCTCAGTAAAATCTTTTATTTTCACTCTCAAGGCGTTGGATCTTACAGTTCCTCTGGGTAAGACCCAAATGGATATTTCGGAAACCAATATGGACAATTCAGTCAACACCTCCTTTGCTGGAGGAAGGCTTCATATTGAAAATGTTTTCTTTTTAGATTCACCCTCAATGAAACGGAGTATATTGAACCTCGAGAAGGATCCTGCTTGCTTTTGTCTTTGGGAGGATCAACCAATTGATGCTAGTCAAAAGAAGTGGACTGCCGGGGCATCCCAGCTTACTTTATCTCTGGAAGCAAGTACTGGCAAGCTTGGACATCAGAATTCTCTTGGATGGACTTCTGGATTGTGGAGATGTGTTGACCTGAAAGATGCTCGCATAGAAGTAGCTATGGTAACTGCTGATGGAAGTCCATTGTTAAAGGTTCCTCCTCCAGGGGGTATTGTAAGGGTTGGCATTGCTTGTAAACAGTATCTATCCAACACTTCAGTTGAACAGTTATTTTTTGTCCTTGATCTCTATGCTTATTTTGGGAGAGTTAGTGAGAAAATAGCGGTAGCTGGAAAAAAGAAACAATTGAAGGATGTCAAGAACAAATCTTTTAGTGGAAAGCTGACGGACAAGATTCCCAGTGACGCTGCTGTAAGTTTGGCAGTAAACAATCTCCAACTTCATTTTCGTGAGTCATCTTCTATGATTGCCGAGGGAATACCCCTATTACAATTTGTCGGAGATGATTTGTCTGTTAGTGCCACTCATAGAACCCTCGGTGGTGCTGTTGTTGTTTCATCCACTTTAAATTGGGAGAGTGTTGAGATAAATTGTATGGATTCTCAGGATAACTTGACATGCGAAAAGGACTTGCATATTAGTACAGGAGAAGTTCCTTCAATAAGTGATCATGGATACCCTCAACTGAGACCTGTTTTCTGGGTGCATAACAGCAAAAAACAACTACTTAATGGAAATGCTCATTCATCCCCGTTTCTGGACATAAATATGGTGCATGTCATACCATTTTGTATGGTAGACATGGAGTCACATACTTTGAATGTCTCAGCTTCTGTATCTGGTGTTCGTCTTGGTGGGGGAATGAACTACTCTGAGGCCCTTCTGCATCGATTTGGAATACTTGGACCTGATGGTGGTCCAGGGAAGGGTCTATCTAAAGGGTTGGAGAACTTACAGACTGGGCCAGTGGCAAAACTTTTTAAGACAACACCTCTGACTATTGATAATCCAGAAAATGGTATGAATATGTCTCTTATTTTCTGTAGCTGGAAGGTTTGCTTTATATATAGTAAATTTTTTGCGTCATTTTCCTTGTGTTTTGTTTGTTACTTTTAAGTATACTTTTCTTACTAACCTTCTTTATGCCAGTTGAAAGTACGAGAGAAGGGAATGATACTGGTTTCGCACACTTGAAGAAGCCAGATATTGTGGATATAACTATAGAATTGAGAGACTGGTTATTTGCTCTCGAAGGTGCTCGAGATATGGCTGAAAGATGGTGGTTCTCAAGCCTTGAAAATGTAAAAAGAGAAGAGAGGTGTTGGCACACAACTTTCAATTCCTTGCGAGTAAATGCAAAATGTTGCCCAGAGACTGTTCCAGACGGAAAAACACAATCACGTAGAATACAGCCATATCTTGTGGAACTGATTACGGTAATACATAAGCATCCTTCTTTCTTCAAGTTTGACACAGTAAGTGTTGATGTATATGTTGTTATGTTTAGTACATGTATGATGCCATCATACCTTAGCTGTCACTGACAGCTACTACATCCATTGTAGTTAGAAGTCTGTTGGTTTCTGTAACTGTAACTGAATGCAGTTGGCTTAATCACTCTCTGACATGAATGATAACAGAATACAATTTCTGATCCTCTTTATCATCTCTCTCTTGCATGACCTCTAACATGGTATATATATAGAGCTTGAAACCAATCCAAAGCCATGACTCTCTGGAAATCTTCCTCCTCCAGGAATTCCTTCTTTTGTACCAATTACCTTCTCTCGTAATTTCTCTCATGCATGAGAGGCTCGTGCCTCTTGCTACCTTGTTTATATCCTCTTCTCCCATGTAAATATGTATACTCTTTAAGATAGGCCAAACTACCCAATGTGGGACTTGGAACCTTTTGGAATACCCACAAAAACACAACACCTTTCCCTTCTAATATGGTACGAACAAGTTGAGACCACTCCAAATATTTTTTCCATTCAGTTGATAGACGGCCTGCATACTCTGTAATTCTCCAGACTAGCAGTTTAGATTGAGCATTCTCTCCTGAGCTGAAGAATTCACTATCTCTGCCATATGACCCATAAGTTAAAACGAAAAAAGAATAGATTCTCCACAGTCAACCCAACCCAATAAAGGGCAAGGAAAAGCACCCAAAAAACGAGACCCAACCAGAGCAATCAGCAATAATGTCTGATGCAAAGACGGTAGTGCACGAGTGCTACACACTGGGGGACGCAAGCGTTTGAAATTTCAATATTATCTATGGTCACCAACAGTGGTTAGACAAAGGAGCTTGACAGTACACGGTGCCCGTCAAGTTTACAAAGGTTCTGGAAGCACAAAATGCCTAGCTAGATCCTCAACAAAGTTATTTGTAGAAGCAGAGACCCCTTAGGTTGGGAGCTCTGATACCATTTGATAAATTAGAAATGAGATTTTTCTGAATTGTCTCGAGTGTATGTGACGGAAACCCAAAAATGGGCAGGTATTATTATCTCAAATAAAAAATTGTGATTGACAGATTAATCTACTACCTCCCTCTCTCAGAGCACCGATTCCAATTACAATCCAATAAAATTTCTCCAATAATCCCCCTCTCTCTCAAGCTACTCTGTATTTATCATCATCTCCCTTAACTAACTCCCTAAAATGGATAAAAGAGGATAAATCCTATAGATAAGCTATGATAACAAAATTCAGATAATATAATCCTAAACTAAATCCTAAAAATAAGTTGTGAAAATAAATTTAAATGACATAATCATAAACTAGATTTGCTACTTTGAATTGGTTCTATCATTGCTCTCTCCTATGATATTGGCCTTGTCCTCAAAATTGAAATCATCCATGGGCCTTTTCTAGTAGTGTATTGATGTATTTACGTTCTCTTGTTCCTCCTTCATGATGTTCTTTACCAACTCGATCTCGCCTTCTCCATTGATCTTTGTCTTCAGCAAGCAAGGTGTGTCTAACTTGTTTGTTTGGGCATTGATGCATAGGATGATATCTTTGACCGCAATGATAACACAACCCCTTCTTCCTCCTGTCAAACAATTCTTGTGAAGGTAGGTGGCGAGTTTCCCTACTCCTCACATCTCCCAGGTGTTTGTTATTGTGAACATTTAGCCCTGACTCATATGACTTGGGTTTAGGTTTCGAATTTTGGGATTTATTCCTATGATGGAAAGGTGGGATGAGAAGAGGAAGAAAACAAAGTCTTGGACTTATGGTAATTCAGTTTAGCATTGACAATTGGTTTTAGATCAAAGCCTTTCACCTTGCTATCTACCTTCCCATATAGAGCACACTACACGTCTCGTGCTAGAGAGATAGTCCTATTAATTGTTTCTGGTTGGTGAAGACGCACCCAACGTCTAATTTCGGGCTTTAAGCCATGCATAAAATATCTGATGGTGTGTGGTACAGCTAGGCAAGGGACTTGGGAGGACAAAAACTCAAACTCTTCAATAAAGTCTGCCACAGAATGCTGCTATGTAAGTGCGGCCAATAGTTCATATGAATTTGGGTATTTATGTCCTCAAAGCAATTGAGCAACACCTCCTTTAATTTCTCCCATGAGAGCCCTGGATCACCCTCCCATAGCAAGGAAAACCAATGGATGACATGTCCTTCCATTGAAAATTGGGTAAGAGGAGTTTTTGTTTCTAGTAGGGTACTGTGCACATGGAAATACATTTATGCTTAATTGATCTAATCGCATGGGTCTGTACCATCAAAGGAAGGCAATTCAACCTTCCTTACTGCAAGTCGATAGTCATCAGTGACGACTAAGGGGGGAAGAGGCTTATTAGCCTAAACTCAGCATTTTCACGACGTTAATTCTCATTCACATGTGCTTCCTTGATGACAGATAGTTGGAGATCGGCAACCGAGGACTGCAATTCTTGAAATTGGGCATCCAAAGTTGTGATTTTGGATTCCAACGCATCAACCTTAGAGACCATGTTGAGCTATCCGACAAGTCAGACCAATGATGGAAACCCAAAAATGGGCAGGTATTATTATCTCAAATAAAAAAATAGAAATTGGCAGATTAATCTACTGCCTCACTTTCCCAGAGCACCGACTCCAAATCCAATAAAATTTCTCCAATAATCCCCCTTTCTCTCAAGCTACTCTGTATTTATTATCATCTCCCTCAACTAACTCCCTAAAATTGATAAAAGGAGATAAATCCTAAAGATAAGCTATTATAACAAAATTCAAATAACATAATCCTAAATTAAATCCTAAAGATAAGCTATGATAATAGAATTCAAATGATAAATCCTAACTTAAGATAAGCTGTGAAAATAGATTCAAATAACGTAATTCAAATGACATAATCATAAACTAGATTTGCTACTTTGAATTGGGTTCTATCAATATGATTCACCAACAGTGTTTCAGTTTACAGGCATGAGGATTCTAAAGATAATAAATGACTAATACAACTTACAAGACAGAAATTAAGATAACATTATTCCTATGATACATATTTGCTACAATACATTGAACTTATTCTAACTGAATATTATTTTGATTCAATTTCTAACAGTTTCATCCTCTTTCATCCCTATATATCTAAAATGCAAAATTTCAACAGGATCATTTGATCTACTACCCATTTTTTCTTTTCCATTTTTTCAATTAAGATAGAAATGCTTTTGAAAGTGATCCTAACTAGGTTAGCACCACAAATTGTATTAATCATCTACAACATTTCTAAATATTATTAAGAAAAGATGAAAGAATACAAGAAAAGTGGGGGAGCTACACCAAACCCACTTAAGAGAATCTATAGTGTTGCAAGCCACTCATATCACAACTGAAACTATGTATCATACAAATAGGTACTTAATCCCACCAATAGTATCCTGTATTTCTTATGCAAAGATTTGCTATACTATTAGCACATGAATTTCCTTCTCTATATATGAGAGAGTCGAAATCTGATCTTTGTGATAAATTCCAAAGCATCATGTCATTTCTCAAAGTCCAAGGCACCAAAGAGTGATCATAAAGACACTTGGCTACCAAAAGTGAGTCTGTCTCAAGTCAGAAAACATTCCATCCTTTAGCAGCTACTATCTCTAGAGCATGTATAAATTTTTCCTTCAAAAGCAGAATTAGCTTATCCTTACCTAACCTTTGGTTGCTTGAATGTACGGATATTTTTTTATTCTGTATTGCCTTGCCAAAGTCGGTAAGGATTTTTTCCCCTACAATTAAAGGACAAATTTAATGAATGAAATACTGTAGTTGTAGACACTAGAAATATTAAATATTAGCTATAACTCAGATACTTGTTGGTTGATTTTATCTGCATCTTATTAGTGTATCTTATCTTATTAGTGTATCTTACCTGTAAATGTGTCGTGTCGTACCCTTTACATATTGAGCCATAACTTGCAGGTTGGAGTTCAAGGGCTGCAGATCATGAAGCCCCAAACCCAAAATAACATTCCTTCCTCGATGATAGCTGCAAATGGAGTTAAAGAATTCAATGACGAAGTTGGGGGTATTGATCTTGAAATAGGATTTATATTATGCGAGGATAATGAAGGTGATGAAACGGTTAATTGGAAAGTGGAAAACCTAAAATTTTCTACAAGGCAACCGGTAATGGCAATTTCATATTTAAAGTATGTGGTCAATTTGTCTTTCGTTATGGAAGGTTGTGTGTGATGAAGATTTTACCATGCAGATTGAGCTAGTTGTAACCAAGGATGAGGTCCAACACCTCACTTTTCTGTGTAAATCTGAAATTGATTCCATGGGCCGGATAACAGCTGGAATTTTACGGCTATTCAACCTAGAAGGTTCTGTTGGCCAGTCTGTAATTGATCAGCTTGCCAACCTAGGTATGCTGCCAAATTTTCTTATGTATCTAATGGTTTTAGTTTCAGTTCTTACTTTTACTAGATCTATTAGTGATCATTCAACCTTACATACAGCTGGAAAATTCTACTATTCTGCCATACTTAAATTTACCATTTACCAAGTGTTGTCATTGTTTTATCTTTTAGAAAATTGCATTTTGATGTATGGCAGAAATGAATTTCAGATATCTGGTTTAGCATTCTTGATTGGCACTGAATGGTTGGTGTCCATATCATTAAAAGTGTAATAAAAAACCCCAAGGATTCTATTTGTGTTATATTTTCAGAAGTTACATAGGACTTCGAAACAAGGTCTCTGGATAGAATCCACGTGGTTGGTAAATGGAAGCGTACCTCAGATGGAAGTTGTATATGATACTTAAAATTAGTTTATATAAACCAGGGCTGACTAAGACTAATGATACTCTACTTCCTTGACATGGAAATGAAAAAATTGACGAGGAAATTGAAAATGATCAATGAGGAGGTATTGTCTTCTCTTTTCCATCATTTTTCAGGGGTCAGCCTCTCCCTCCTTCAGGTCAGGGAGGGGAAAAAGTCAAGGGAGAGCAGGCTAGCCCAAAGACAAAGAGTCAAGAGTAAGACAACCTGGTCAATAGGAGCATTAAGAGATGATGGAAAGTCTTGAATTTGAACTTTGAAGACTGTATTGATTATCACTTGAATAAATTTTGTATAGATCCATAACAAATAGGAAAAAACAAACAGCAAAATTTGAAATTTCATAACTTGCCGACTCAAGCATACTAATCCAGCTGTTGTCTTGATCCTCTCAGAGGATCCCTCCTTTTATTTAATATTATATATTTAATCTCTATCCCATTTTGCACCTCCACTGCCTGTTCTATGTTACAGATCAATACCAAGACCAACCTAGACTGTTTGGATGTGTGGTCTTAAGAAAGTGAATATGAGTTTAATTCAACCTTAAAAAACTAGATAGTAAGGTGAGAATTGTTCCCCACTTATATACAATATTTTGGCCATCTCACTAGATGATGTGAGATCTCCAACACACTCCTCCCTTCTCATGCTGAGACATTTGGAGCGTGAAATTTGCATAATTAAACATCTGTATTAGTTCGATAATGGTCCGATAGCAAGTACTGATAAGCCTACCAACATTTGTTAGAATATGCTTTAATACCATTTAAAAGAAGTGGATTTGAGTTTAACTCAACTTTATAAAACAAACTTGTAAGGTGAGGATTGTTTCCCTCTTATATACAATATTATGGCCATCTCACCTGACGAAATGGGATCTCCAACATATGGCTTTTTAATTTTGTTGCTTTTGATACTTTGCCTTCAAGCTCTTAGTTCCTAGATTGTCAAGGCTTGGTTGGGCTCATGCACTCATTTATTCTGTCTTCTATCATTCTAATAACGTTATGATGATATGCAGGAAGTGAAGGAATTGAGAAGATTTTTTCTCCAGAGAAGCTCAGCTTAGATGGTAGTGTTTGTAGCGAAGGACTCTCTCCACACAAATCTATGGAACCCACATTTACTTTGCTTGAGGAAGCAGTTGCAGATTCACAGGCTAAGATTAATGCTCTGGTCACTGATATTGGTACTTCCGAGTCTTCGTTTGAGCACCTTACTGTCGTCAAACAGCTCAGTCAAAAGATTAAGTTGATGCAGGATTTAGTGGTGCAATTGCAGAGCCAACTTTAAAGCCTCTGCGTCATTTTTATGTGTAGTTAGAAATACTAACTTTCGATTAGGTAGGTCAGAATTCTTTTGTACATACCATACAAGTACATAGGTTGAGTTTTGTAAAAAATAAGCCCAAATGAGGCTTCCACCATTTATGTATTAGTAAATTTTGTACCGTTAACGCATCATGGAATGAGAGAAAGGAATGCAATTTTCTTACATTCAGGTGTGCCTTCCATTTTATTTATTTTTTACATCTTATATCAATTTACAAGGTCCAATCTTTTTTACCTTCTATTGTATTAATTTCTCGTTTATATTTTTCACTTTGATGCTCAATTTTGTACAATTATATGATTTCGTGCAATCCATGAGTTTATATAATAGAGCTAAAAAAATTTGTCAAGAGCACTGACAGGATCACGGGCATATTATATTTATTATTAGTACATGCAGTGGCGAGAAAAATATATATAACTTTTCCAAATTTAACACAATCTTAATAGTTTATCAGAGAAGTTATTTGATGAGAATATGATGATTAACAAAAATTTACTTTGAAGAATTCTACAATAGATATCTACAGTTTTCATGCAACCAACAAGGAATTCGATCTCGGCTGTGTATCAACTAAAATCACCTCTTTCCTTACATTTAATCATTTATCTATTTGAGACACAATTATCCTTTTCTTTTTTCCATAACCAATGTTTGACATTCAGGTAAATAAAAATAAAAACATTTAAATGATTTGGCGTGCAGATTTCATATTATATAACTTTAAGAGAAAAAAAAATATATATATATATATATATATATATAGATGAAGAATTCAATTATTTTAAGAGTAAACCTAATTAAATTTTCTCTAAAGATGTCTTATAAACTTTAGACAATGTCCCGTATATAATTTACTCAAAATTAAATGGCAGGAAAGAAATGAAAGATTTTTTCTCTTTTCATTGTGGAATTAACTTTAACAGTATTAGACCTCGTAAAAAGAGGATTGCCTATCCAAAAGAATGCGAATGGTACTGTTTTTAGCGTAATTATATTCTAAAATAGCATTAACTCTTGACTAAATATTTTCTACCAAAAATCAAGAATTTAAAACATAAGATATATTAATAATTCCTTAAATTAAATATAATTTGTATACATATTTAACAATTATCAAACACATAAACCACTACAAGAAAACGCTGAATAAGCGGCGAAAAATAAGCGTCGGCTAATAGCTGACGAAAATAGTGTCGGCTTTTTTAAGATTTAGCGTCGGCTTTTCCGACGCTAAACTTAAAATAAATTTAAATTAAATATTTTAAGTTTAGCGTCG